TAGGGGGTTCCGGGACCCGTTGGACCGCGTGGACCACCAGGACTTGACGGTTGCAATGGAACCGATGGTTTACCGGGATCACCAGGGTCTCATGGTTACGATGGGCCGCCCGGTTTACCTGGAATACACGGACCACAAGGTTTTTAATATATAAATGAAAATAAATTCGTACCTGTATAAATGATTATTTTTTAAATCTCAGGACAAAAAGGAGAGCCGGCTATCGGTCCGCCGGGTCTAAAGGGTCTTAAAGGAGAACCGGGAAGAAGTGGATTCCCTGGAATGCCGGGGACACCGGGAAATGATGGCTTACCAGGGGCCCGAGGAGATCCTGGACTTATGGGACCACCCGTTAGTACAACTAAACTCAATTAAATTTATATATTTAAAAAATATTTTGATCTAAAGGGACAAAAAGGAGATTCAGGACCTTATGGACCTAAAGGTGTGTAAATAGTATGTTATTGACTAAATTACTAGAAATTTATTATAAGTTGTACTGAAACTACATTTTAAATGTGAAATTACATTTTACAGAAACAATATGAAAATAATCTAACTTTGATTATATAAGGTGTGAATGGAAAAACTGTTTATTTAGTAAATTGTCAATAGAGAATGAATTAGGCAATATTTAGTCATAAATTTTCAAATAATTGTAATTTTGAAATTTAGACCATGTTGACATAACCATATTCACCATGTTCACATTAACCATGTTGATATTTGAAACAATATTAAGGCTTACTAAAAATTATGTTGACATTTATTTAAATTTTCAATTAGGAAACACTGGCGTCGGGTTTGTCGGCGCTAAAGGAGAATCCGGAGACAAGGGTTTGCCAGGACTTCCCGGCAATAATTGTAGTTATTCTCACGGTGTCCCGGGTACAATCATTGGTCTCCCCGGGTCTAAAGGGACCAAGGGAGAAAAGGTTAGCCATTGTGTTCAAATTGATTCGTAAGCAAAGAATATTTATTTTGATCACTAATTAAAGGGTGAATTTGGAGTCCCAGGAGAGCGAGGATATGACGGCATTCCTGGAGTGACGGCATGTTATTCGCTATAATTTATAAATTTTATTTTAACAAAATAATAATTTACAGACAAATTAATTTTTATGGTTTGTAGGGACCTCCGGGGGAAGTCGCATATAAAGGAGAGAAAGGATTACCCGGACATCCGGGCACTCGAGTATGATTTGAAATGAAATAAAACAAAATATTTATTAAATGATATTTAAGGGCAAAGAAGGATATCCGGGACCCCCTGGAAGTGTTGGATTTAAGGGCGATCGCGGAGAGCCAGGTCTCCCGGGTTTGGATGGAATCCATGGACCTAAAGGCGATGCGGGTCTGCCTG